TTGATTGATATAACATTAACAATATTGCAAAATGCTTAACATGATATATTATAATCAATAAAAAAAAAATTATTTATTATAGTATTTAAAAAAATACATACATATCATTATTTACCTTTTAGTAATTTTTAATTAAACATTTTTTATTTGGGATAGATCTACACTATGCATAAAATGCAGGGTGATCTCCTGTTAAGGGAATTTTCTTATATCAAGAAAATCCTAAGCTGCTGGCCAAAAAGATATGGGTCATAATATATCAAAATTTCTTTATATATCTAACATTAACGATCATGTCCTATAAGTAAAATTTCATTCTAAAAACTTTTACTTAGAGGTCAAAAGTTAGTCATAATAGTAAATTTTTGTGTTATTTATGTTTTTTTTTTACAATTTCTTATATTTTTTATGTTTGGTTTATTATACAAGATCCTGTTCTTCAGCTTTCTTGACATAAGGGTACTCCTGTCAATGACTTTATTAAAGAACAAAAATGTTCAAGTTATTGATAGTATTTATTTTATTTGTGTATATATAAGAAAGAAATTATATAGAAAAAATTAATTCGCAGTTGTATATTATACATATATATATTTGGATTTGAATTGTACACTGATGACCAGTCTAATGTTTCAATATAAATAGAAAGATCGAAATCATATACAAATGAAAAATATGTACTATGTTGACCGGGACTTGGCTAATGAATTTTGTAAATTTAAAGATATTTTACCAAGTTTATAAAATTAAATTTGGAATTGATTAAATTTAAACACTACCATAAAAATCTATATAAGTGAATCTTCATTAAACTTCATATCTTTTTTGATTTTTTTTTTTTCTTTGAATATCATCAGTCAAAAATTGAACACTATAATAATTATAATAAAATGAAAAGAGTTCAAACTAATAAAGCAACTCGAAAAGTTGTATTATGAAAACATATTACTTATAATATTTCGAAACCTTACAAAGAGGAGAATATTCACAAAATACTATTAGTCAAGCTTTACAAAATAATGTTAGCCAAGCTTTACAAAATAATGTTAGCCAAGCTTCATAAGTTTCAATAAACGAAGACAATAGTGGTGAAAGTTTACAAGAAAATTTTTCTGATAGCGAAAGTTTGTTCTCTGGTAAAAGTCAACATATCAATAATCTCGAATATAATTCTTCTATGGCTTCAGATACATCTAGTAGCAGTGATCAGTTGTCAGTTACAGAAGAAATTGAATTACAAATGGAAGAAGAAAAAAACTTCAACTAAATTATAGTAGATAGTGGAATCGATTTTCAGCCACTATTCAGAAAGTATGGCCCATATTTTAAAAATTTCATGGAAATGTCATTTTTCACTTGGGTCACCCAGCATATGATTAGTAAGTATTAGTATAAAGACAAGTTTTGTTATTTTTTTATTTATTAATTATTGTTTTATTTGCTTAATTCTTATTCTATTAACTAATTATTTTTTATTTTGCTT